GGAAATGATAGATGGTGAACGCAGGCCCAACCTTCTCTGTCTGCCGTGATGTCTCGTGATGGCGACGCGATGGATGCTGCTCCTCTCTCTCTCCCTCTCTCTCTTTGTCTCTGTCTGTCTGCTTGCCTGTCTTTCTGTGATTCCTATGCCTGTTTTTCTGTATTTGTCTGTCTGTCTGTCTGTCTAACTCCCTAACTCTCTCTCTCCCTCCCTACCTCCCTCCCTCCCTCCCTCTCCCTCCTTTCCTCCCTTCCTCCCTCCCCTTCTCCCTCCCTCCCTCCCTCCCTCTCTCTCTCTTCCTACATTTCCTTTTTTCTTCCCGCCTTTTCTCCCGACTTCTGCCTCCCTCTCCTTTTGCCTTTTCCCCGCCCCCTCTATCCCTCCCTCCCGCCCTTTCTCCCTCCTTTCTACCCTCCTCCCTCCCCCACCCTCCTTCTACCTTCCTCCTCCTGTTCTGTCTGTCTGTCTGTCTAACTCCGTAACTCTCTCTCCATCCCTCCATCCCTCCCTCCCTCCTTCCCTCCCTTCCTCCCTTCCTTCCTCCCATCCCTCCCTCCCTCCCTCCCTCCCTCCTTCTCTCTCTCTTCCTACATTTCATTTTTTCTTCCCGCCTTTTCTCCCGACTTCTGCCTCCCTCTCCTTTTGCCTTTTCCCCGCCCCCTCTATCCCTCCCTCCCGCCCTTTCTCCCTCCTTTCTACCCTCCCTCCCTCCCTCTCCCTCACCCCATCCCCATTATCCTCTCTTGCCTCCCTTCCTCTCTCCCTCATCCCACATCCCATCTTTCCTCCCGTTAGCCCTCCCTCCCTCCCTCCCTCCTTCCCTCCCTCTCTCCCTCTCTCCTTCTCTCCTTCTCTCCTTCTCTCCATCTCTCCTTCTCACTCTCTCCTTCTCACTCTCTCTCACTCGCTCTCTCTCTCTCTCTCTCTCTCTCTCTCTCTCTCTCTCTCTCTCTCTCTCTCTCTCTCTCTCTCTCTCTCTCTCTCTCTCTCTCTCTCTCTCCTGTGTTGCGATTCTTTCCTCTTCGCATATGTCCTCCCCCTCCTTTATCACCCCTCCTCCCTCCCCCCTTTGAGATGAATCGAGACCGGATATGGAAAACGTGTTGGGGGGGTGAGGGAGGTGGGGGAGGGAGAGGGGGGGGGGTATTATGGCTGAGATAATGGGTCTGTTTTTTATTGTTTTCTTCTTTTTTCTTTTGTTTTTATTTATGTTTTTTTCTGCGTGCTTAATAAATCCACTGTGAAATGTTTATGCATGTTTATGTTTGAAATATATATGTGTATGTTTATTTTTTCTTTCTCATTGTGGTATCGGTTTGTCATCTTGGCCGTACATTCTTATTTTTTTCTTTTTTCTTTCTTTTTTCCTTTTCTTTTCTTTTCTTTTCTTTTCCTTTTTTTAAGTCAACGGGGACACGTGGCATCACCCCCGACCTCTCCCTGCCCCCTACCCCCTACCCACGCCTACACCCTTCCCCCAAGGTGCCATTATGTAAATCTAGACAGGGAAGGGGGGGAGTGGTAGGGGGGGGTGGAAGGAATTCAGGGGGGGGGGGGGGCTGAGGGTAACAATACTGGTCCAACGCGATTTCTCTTCCGCTTTCTGCTTCCCCGTGTATTTCCCCTCTTGTACGCTCTCTCTCTCTCTATCCCCTCTATTTGATCTCTCTCTCTCTCTGTTTCTGTTTCTCTCTCTCTCTTTCTCTCTCTCTCTCTCTATCTATCTATCTATCTATCTTTCTCTGTACACGTGTGTGAGAGAGAGAGAAAGAAAGAAAGAAAGAAAGAAAGAAAGAAAAAGAGAAAGAGAAAGAGAAAGAAAGAGAGAGAGAGAGAAGTGGTGGCGGAGAGAAAACGCAGATTCATGACCGGGAGTAGGTAGGTAAGGAGGAATAAAAGATGTCAAGTAAAAAGCTTGTTTGCGCTGTTTTTACGTGCGCATATGTACGTATCTATGAATGTATGAATGCACGCACATATGTACAAAGTGTATATGTAGCCATGGGCTGGAGATGAAGTACTCTAAGTGACCGTAATATTATCGTCGTTTTTGTTCCAATTTGATTCGTTTAACTTCACACAGCGTTTTTTTTTTCTCTCTCTTTTTTTTTTCTTTTTTTCCGAGGGAAGAGAAAGTTACAAGATGAAAGGGAAGTGAAGTGTGGAATGTGTAGATTTTTTATTTATTCTTATTCAAATACATTTTTTTTAGACTTTCCATCTATTTTCCCCTATATTTAGCTCCTTAGAAATCTAAGCTTTTGATTTTTTTCTTCTAAATATGGCGTACCCGCCCGTTGTCATCGGCACCACAGTTCAGCATTTTAATTGTTTTATGAACTGAAGTGTCCCCGTCGCCTCAGAATGGAAGACAGCATTAATGAGACAGGAATTAATGATGCCTTCAGTGACAGGGCTGTTGATAGAAGCGATACAGCAGAACGGAGTGTGAATTGCAGTACTAGATCGACAGCAGTTTGTTTACTGTTGGAGAGAGATATAGAAGTTTCGAGAGCAAGAATAGATAGATGGATAGATAAAGAGGAAAGAGGATGGCTAGAGAGAGAAGGGGAAATTGCAAAAAGAGAGGGAGGAGAGAGAGAGAGAGATAGGGAAAGGGAAAGGGAAGGGAAGGGAAGGGAACGGAAGAGAAGGGAACGGAAGAGAAGGGAACGGAAGGGAATGGAAGAGAGGAGAGAGAAGGGAAAGGAATGGAAGAGAAGGGAAGAGAAGGGAAAGGAATGGAAGAGAAGGGAAGAGAAGGGAAGAGAAGGGAAAGGAATGGAAGAGAAGGGAAGAGAAGGGAAAGCAATGGAAGAGAAGGGAAGAGAAGAGAAAGAGAAGAGAAAGAGAAAGAAAGAGAAAGAAAGAGAAGAGAAAGAGATAGAAAGAGAAGAGAAAGAGAAGAGAAAGAGAAAGAAAAAGAAGAGAAAGAGAAAGAAAGAGAGAGAGAGAGAGAGAGAGAGAGAGAGAGAGAGAGAGAGAGAGAGAGAGAGAGAGAGAGAGAAAGAGAGAGAGAGAGAGAGTGAAAGTGAAAGAAAGAAAGAAGAACGAAAGAGGAAGAGAAGAGAGAGATATGAATATGTAAAGAAGGAGAACGAGTAAGACCGAAGAAAGTGAATAAACACACACCACTTGGTAGGCTTTAATGACATAATCAGACTTACCTCATGTCACGGGGAATGCGCCCAAACGGCCTGCTTGTGTAAGCCTTGTTGACAAATGAATTAAATATAAGGGTAAACGTCCCGGGCAACGATTCAAGGGTAAGACCTCGACGAGGAATGAAAAGTGTGGCCGTTTTGATTTCACCCTTGATGTAATTTGCCCTCCCCCCCCTTTTCTCCATTCTCCCTCATTCCTTCCTTCCTCCCTCTTTCTTCCTCATCCCTCCTTCCTCCCCTCTCCTCCCTCTTCGCTCCTCTCTCCTAGGTCTTCTCTCTTCCCTCCTCCCTTCCTCCTCCCTCCTTCCTCCCTCCCTCCTTCTTCCCTCCTCCTTCCCTCCCTCTTCCCTCCTCCCTCCCCATCTGCTTCCTCTTCCCTCCTTCCTCCTCCCTCACCCCTCCTCCCTCCTCCCCAGTATTTTTTTCACTCTTGGGATATTTGCAAGTTCGTGTGATATGCGTGACTGTCGATGGTTGGAATAGGAATTTTGGGAACGGTCCTGCTTTGTGTTGGGGGGGAGGGGAGGTGGAGGGGTTAGGGAAGGAATGGGCGGGGGGGGGGGGGAGGAGGGGAAGGTGGAGGGGATAGGGAACCAATGGGTGGAGGGGGGAAGGGGGGGAGAGGAGGGGAAGGTGGAGCGGATAGGGAACCAATGGGCGGAGGGGGGAAGGGGGGGAGGAGGAAGGTGGAGGGGTTAGGGAAGGAATGGGCGGGGGGAGGGGAGTGAACGGATGAGGGGAGGGAAGGGGGAAAGAGGAAGGGAAAAGGAAAGAGGAGAGAAGGGGGAAGAGTAAGGGAAGGAATAAGGGGAGGGGAAGTGAAGGGGTAAGGGGAGGGAAAGGGAAAAGGAAAAGTAAGGAAAAAGGGGAAGAGAAGAAAGGGAAGGGAAGGAAGATGGGGACAGGCTAAAGGAAGGAAAGGGAAGATAGGGTGAAAAAAGGGGGGAAAAGAAGGCGAGGGAAATGTGGAGGGGAAGGGGAAGGGGAGAGAAAGTCGGGTAATAATAGAATTAAGAAGAGGGAAGGGAGAAGTAACGGAAGGAAGAAGGGAGAAGGGAAAAAAAAAGTAGAAATATAAGAGAAAGAGGTGAAGAAGGAGAAAGAGAAAAGAAAAAAAAGGGGGGGGGAGTATCTGGCCCCCCCCAAAAAAAATAGAAAAAAGAGAAAAAACCGTAAGTACCGAAGCATCCAAGAAGGTAAAGAGGAAAAAAATGGAAGTTTGAAGAAGATGAAGAAGTAGGAGGTGGCCGCTACCGCACCAGAGTCCTCGGGAAGCAAGTGTTTGTAAAGTAAACTCCCCAGCGAGCTGAAGAGGTCTCATGCGCCACTTGCGGAGGGGGGGGGGAGGGAGGATGAGGGCGGGGTGAAAGGGGGGGGGGGCAAGGAAGAGGGGATGATGGGGATGTAATGAGGGGAGATGTTTTTTTTTTCTTTCTTTCTTTCTTTTTTTTTTATCTCCCTGACTTTCTTTCGTTAGCCTTTTTTTTATTCGCCTTCTGTTCGCTAGGGAATAAGAGGGGGGGGGGGGTTACAACGAGAGCGATTGGGAAGTGAGAGGGATTTTGATGGAAGACATAGGCTCCAGAAATACATTCATTTTTTGCGTGTATTGGCTGGTAATAATTGTATGTATATGCTTGTATACATTTATGTTTACATGTTTAAAATATATGTTAGAGAGAGAGAGAGAGAGAGAGAGAGAGAGAGAGAGAGAGAGAGAGAGAGAGAGAGAGAGAGAGAGAGAGAGAGAGAGAAAGAGTGAGAGAGAGAGCTGATACACTGATATATTCACTCAGAGATCACTGTAATTTAATGCCGTTTTCTCCTTTCCCACAG